TGGTTTCTGAAGAAGGAGAGAATTTAAGGGTCAGAGCTAAAGAAGCAGCTGAAGTTTTTGGGAACCGAAACCTGCAACATAGTTACGTCAATAGATTTGTTGAGTATCTGGAGAAAAATGGAGCTGCAACTGATTAAAGTCAGGAATAATGTTTCAAATACAAATAAGATGGCTGTTTTGTTGATTTACGAGCAATAACTTTCCTTGTTTCTTTTATTTGGATTTTCAAGCTTAAAAATGTAATGTTACTCAATAATTATCATGTGCCAAGCCTCAAAACTCAGCTGCACTAGATTGACAAATTTAGAGACTGGAAATTTCCAATCACATTTCTTAATTCATTTCAATTTCCAAGTAGCCGACTAGTAGCATGTGAAGCTCTGCTTCTATAAATAAAGTTTCAACTTAATTTGGATCTCCTCCCTCAATCTCTATGCTAATAGCCATTCCCAAGTTGTAAGGAATTATACACTTTTCATGAATTTAACCATATAGCTGCTCTTATGAATTTCATGAATTTTATACACTTCAAGCATAAATTTTTAGGCAGATTTTTTTTTCTCTGTTAAAATAAAGTTTCTATTAATAATCCGAATTGAATAAAATTCTGGTGAGAATCAGAAGTTTAATTTGAAGGAATAGGTGGAGGAGTTTTTTGTCAAGTAAGAAAAGAGAAACTAGAAAGAAGCAAAGATAATATCAGAGTGAAGGCATAAAGTAAGAAAATATATAAAAATCTTAAAACAAGGAATATTATATGAAGATTTTTTTAGTTTTTCACAAGCCAATCATTTTAAATAAACTAGAACTGGAGCCACATGGCTATTACACAAAAGAAACAATATATCACAATTTTAAGTCTGCTATAAATACAGCTACACGTTTTTTATATTTATCACTTGCTTTTCACTTAAAAGAAAAAAAAGCCAAATAGTCTCTTAAATACATGATTAACATTACACAATCAACGCTCTACACCTTATCCAGTTGATAATACAAATATTGAAAATAAACAAACACTCGACATTGAACATAATATTGTGTCATCCCTACATAACCACACTCCAAAACAGTTTCAATAAAGATGGATGGAAATTTGTCCTTCCCTGCATTGTTTTTAAGCAGACTTTTGAATATGCTTCCTGGGATTGCGAAAATTTGTCTTTCACATTATTATATTTTTAATAGAAAGACAATAGCCAAGCACCTTACTTTTTTTTTTCTTTTGCTAGGTCAATGGACAACTACCTCAATAGTCCTTTCCTTATAGTGTAATTTCTAGACTTTTCTGCCTTCATATTGGTGGAGGCTGTTTAGAGTACTATCAGCTGTCTCAAATCCTTGATTGCTCCCTATCAGAAATGGCTAGAGATTTTCATGTAGTGATGCTTCCCTGGTCTGCTTTTGGCCACTTGATACCATTCTTTCAACTCTCTGTAGCCCTAGGCAAAGCAGGAGTGAAAGTCTCCTTCGTATCAACCCCTAGAAATATCGGAAGACTCAAAGTTCCTTCAGATTTAGCAAACCTGATAGATTTAGTAGCTTTTCAGTTGCCAGCCTTGGATAATGAGACACTCTTGCCAGAGGGTTCTGAGGCCACCGTGGACATTCCTTCCGAGAAAATTCAATACCTGAAGATTGCATACGATCTACTTCGACACCCGGTCAAGCAGTTCATCTCAGATCAACGACCGGGTTGGATAATCGTTGATGTCATTCCTCATTGGGTGGTTGAGATTGCCCACGAATACCAAATCCCTCTCATTAATTTCTCAGTTTTCTCTGCTTCTTCATATAGTTTCTTTGCAAATCCAAGATCCCTCACCAGCGACGGCCAAAAAAGAATGAGGTCTTCTCCGGAAAGTTTGACGTCACCGCCTGAGTGGTTTGATTTTCCTTCTTCATTAGCTTATCCTAGTTCCCTAGCTACTGGCATGCATGAGGGGTTTTACGGAAAGAATGCTTCTGGAGTATCTGACGCTGAAAGGCTTGCTAAAATTATTCAGGCATCTAAAGCTTTTGCTATACGTAGTTGCACGGAATATGAAGCCGAATACTTGAACGTAGTGGAGAAGACAAATGGCAAACCAGTGATTCCTATAGGTTTGCTCCTACCAGTGAAACCTGAAGGAAGAAGAATGACAGACAAGTCATGGATAGAAATCTTTGAGTGGCTTGATGTACAAAAGCCTAAGTCAGTTGTGTTTGTAGGATTTGGCAGCGAGTACAAGCTAAGCAAGAATCAAATTCATGAGATAGCGTACGGGCTGGAGCTATCAGGATTGCCATTTTTATGGGCACTGAGGAAGCCTGAATGGGCTCTTAGCGACGATGATGCTCTGCCTCCTGGTTTTAGCGACCGTACCCGTGGAAGAGGAGTTGTCAGCATTGGTTGGGCACCGCAATTGGAAATTTTAGAACACCCATCAATCGGAGGCTCGTTGTTTCACGCCGGATGGGGTTCAATTATAGAAACGCTGCAGTTTGGGCATTGTCTCGTGGTTTTACCATTCATTATTGACCAACCCTTGAATGCAAGGTTTTTGGTGGAGAAAGGTTTGGCAGTGGAAGTAGAGAGAAGTGACGATGGATCATTTAGCGGAGTTGATATAGCTAAAGCTCTGAGACTGGCCATGGTGTCCGAGGAAGGACAGAGTCTAAGAGTCCGAACCAGAGAAGCGGCTCAAATTTTTGGAAACAGAGACCTGCAAAACAGTTACTTCAATAGCTTTGTGGAGTATCTAGAGAAAAATGGAGCTGCAAATCAAAGGCGTTAATCTTCCAAGTTCCAATAATAAAAATGGAAGAAAAGGCTTTGTTAAGTTACAAGCAAGCTTTGTCCACTACTCCCCGTCCTAGCTGGTGACCTTTAAATTACAAAACCTTTGGTTCCTTTCCTTCTGTCTTTCAAATGCCTACTGGAATATTTAACTTTTGATGCCTTACCAATCTATATTACTATTTAATTGTTTTTTGGCACAATCATTACAATTTTATAAACATTTTTTTTATTATTCTTACATAATTGTAAACTTTAAATTTAACAATCATGATTTTCACAAGTATACTCTTTAAACTTTTTGTCAAAAATGTCGTTAGCATTTTCTTGCATGGCTCCTATGGCATGAAATAAAGTTCACCGAATACATTAGCTAGGCATGGTTGCCCATTTACTAGTGCAAACTATAGATCCTGCTAATCTCCTTCCCTCATCTCACCTACTTTTGGTGGTGAGTGGGAGAGAAAAGTGAAACATTAGAGGAAAAGAAATTGTCAATACGTTTACATGGCATAATATTTTTAAAAAAATTAAATTATTTTGAAGAATTTAAATAAGTTTTAATTCTTTTATTTTGTTTAATCAAATTTTAAAATTTTATTAAATTTTTTTAAATAATTTAAGGACCTTTTCAAACGTTTTGCCTTTCTAAATCTTGCTAGTAAATTCATTTCATACTTACCAAATACATAGGCACAGGTAAAGGAAAGATAATCTGCTTTATTTGCCTTCCTCCCAACACAGAAGCACTGCACCTATATTTGCCATACTTAAATAGATGTTCAAGGCTCTGGTACATCACTAAATCTGAGAAACAAAGTGGCCAAAGACCTTCACGTTGTTAGATCCCATGATCCGCCTTCGGACACATGGGGCCATTTTTTCAACTCTCATTTGCCTTGGCCAAAGCTAGAGTTAAGGTCTCCTTCATTCAAACACCTAACAACATCAAAAGACTCCCCAAAATTCCTTCGAATTTAGCCACCCTCATCAATTTGGTGGAGCTTCCATTGCCTGCACTGGACAAGGATGTCCTACCAGATGGCGCTGAGGCCTCTGTCGATATCCCATTTGAGAAATATCAGTACCTGAAAACCGCATACGATATGCGTAAAGAAATTTTCAAGAAATTCGTGGCTGATCAATCACCAGACTGGATATTTGTTGATGTTATCCCTTATTGGGCAGCGGAGGTCGCCCTAGAATTTCAAGTTCCCCTCTTGTAATTCACAATTTTTACTGCTTCCACAGACGTTTTCCTTGGCTCACCAGATTATTTGTTTGGTGAGGGCCAAAAGAAGCTACGTTCGTCTCCATAAAGTTTGATGTCAGCCCCGGAATGGGTCACCTTCCCATCTACTGTTGCCTTCAAGAAACATGAGGCTGTTGTCAGTTTTTCTGCCATTTATGGAGCAAATGGCACTGAAAAAGATGCCTATCGCATTTCCAAGGCCTTACATTCATGCCAAGCTGTTGCTGTACGTAGTTGCAATGAGCTTGAAGGTGATTACTTAAGTTCACTTGAAAAGATGCTCGGAAAAAAGGTGATTCCAGTAGGTTTGCTTCCACCGGAGAAACCACGAGGAAGAAGGGACATCACTGACGAGAAATGGGTTAAGATTTTTGAGTTGGTTGATCAGCAAAAGCCCAAGTCAGTTGTATTTGTGGGATTTGGCAGTGAGTGTAAACTGAGCAGAGATCAAACCTATGAGTTAGCTTATGAAATAGAGTTATCTCAAGTACAATTTTCATGGGCACTTAGGAAGCCACTTGGGCTAAAGATGATATCGATGCTCTGCCACCAGGTTTTGCTCAAAGGACCCAAGGCAGGGGATTGGTGACTACTGGGTGGGCACCGCAAATGGAAATTTTGGGACACTCTTCGACTGGTGGCACGTTGTTTCAGTGTGGTTGGAATTCTGTGGTGGAGACTCTACAATTCGGGCACACCCTGGTGGCGCTGCCGTTTGTCTTTGACCAAGCTCTGAATGCAAGATTGCTTGTGGAGAAAGGTTTGGCCGTGGAGATTGACAGAGCTGAAGATGGATCGTGTGACAAAAATGATATTGCCGAATGTTTAAGGCTAGCAATGGTGTCAGAGGAAAGAGAAGGCCTGAGGGCTCGTGCAAGAGCAGCTGCCAAAGTTTTGGGTGATCAGGAGAAGTACATTGCTCATTTTGTTGAGTACGTGGAAAATGGAGTAGCTAATAATGCTATTCATGGTTAACAAGATTCTTCTGGTTGAAGTTCTGCAATAAACATTATGGAACAATAAAAAACCTTACTCAATCATTACTTTGGATTTTCGAAATCAGCACAAAGCTTTTGTAATTGCTCAAAATCTTAAAATATACAGCAGTTGCAGTGTTTTCTCCAGCCAATGGCTGGCGACATTGACAGATTTTTGAAATTTTTCATTTAAAAAAAGGGCAAAACAATTGCAAAGAAAAATCGTTTGTGTTTGCAACAAATGGAATCACAACCCACTCCATTGGTCAGCTGAGCCAATACCTTTACCACATCATAACCATTTCTTCACAAATTCATGTAATGACAACTCTTCCCCATCAACACAAAAGCACAAGGTCATTGAAAACTGAACATGTTCCTACTGATATTGTGTTGACTTATATCTCTTGAAATGTTCAAGTTGTAAAGGACTAAGAAATGTAAACCTCAGCCTCTCTAAAAGATATCATTCTCCATTGGCTGCATCACTGACTGGCCGTACCTTGGAATGTATTGCCCAATGTCGCACCATGCTTCTTAATAATCTGGACAGACTGCAGAAGAATATCTTGTTGTGTGGAGTATAATTCATCTTTGCTCTAGAATTGCATATCGTACATCAATGTGGATATCAGTAAAATGAGAAAGAAAAACACTTGTCAGGCTTAAAATGATAAATTTTGAAAAGAAGCCACAGCCAAGCATCCAGCATTCAGAACAAAATCCCAGGAGAGGAAAACAATATCAATAAATCAAGGGTTTGAGGCAGTCTTTTAAACTTATCAGTGCAGCTATGCAAACCACAGTTGCACATCTGTTTTAAACAGTGGCATTAAGTTTTAATATTTTTAAAATGAAATTCAGAAAATCAGAAACACTTGAGATCCGAGATTTGGCTCATTAGTTTGGGCACAATCCCCTGCTTAGAAAGCAGGGTTTGAATCCCCCCTCTCCCAATAAAAAAAAAAAAAACTGGGCAACTGATCAAATAACAATGGTACCTAAACATCAGAAAAAAGGAATCGAGGATGAGACATTACCATATGTCTGAGATTGCATCCAATGGTCAGTTCTGCATAAGAACTTTCGATATGAGACAGGAAACAGTAAGGGGCCTCCTTTCCCAAGAAAACTTTTGAGTTTGATTGCAGCATGACCTTGATGTCATTGGATATCTGGGGAATCTTGTCCAGATCTTCAATTTGCAAGGGAATTTTGGTTACCACGGCACGCCATTGAGCACGTGACTTGTTCATAATAACCTATAAATTTTCATGGTTAACAAAGATTACCAAGAATGATGGTTTTGAGTATGACTAGTGTACAATGTATAAATAAGCAAATGAGCATACTCTCAGTAGACTTGATGAACAGTGAAAAGAATTCTTCTCTTTCTAGCAAAAGGAAGAAAAAGAAAAAAAAAAAAAGACCAACCTGACTGGAAAAGAGCGAGTTTGGAACCAAAACTGGAAATTTCTCAGAGTTAAGTAATGTTGTGCTTGTAAGTCCCATGTCCACCACTTGACCTTCTATAGATCCTGCCTGCAGTAAGAACATTTTATTGTCAATTCATGCAGAAAAGCAAGGAAATGAAATAACAAACCTAACCTTGTTAAAACCACAAGGTTTTACAGGTAAAATAACCTTAATGATGGAATAAAATAAATGGCATTTAGGTTATACGGGCACAGTGGACATCACAACAAAGGTCAGGATTACCAATATACCCTCATACATAAAGACGTATAAACCAACTAACTTCAGGGAAATAACTGAAGAGTCGGTCAATAGTGGAATTAGGAGGGACAGAGTGCAATGAACAGAAATCATAAGCAAATACCAAGCTATCAGTACCCAGTTGGTGCTACCTGAAAGATGATGAGTGATTGATTCATCAAAGCAGAAAACAAAATATTAACAGCAAGAATAATAAATAATAAGTACTTCAATTCAATAATGCACAACAAATACTTCATATGCACATCTATGAGAGCTTAATTCTTGACATCCTACGGTGAAGTACAAACTGCAGCTGAAACAGCATTTAGGAAATAAAGAAAACAATTCCTTTTCTCATTGTGGACTGTAAATATGAAAAAGCTTATTGGACTGATAAGCATTGGACAGAAAGAAAATCTTTTCCTGCATGGAAAGAAAAACATTTGCTCAGTTACGTGTTACCTTAACAGTTGCTCAGTTACATGTTACCTTTATTGTATCACCCAATGAAAAAGGTTTGGAAAACTGCATAGACAATCCACTGAGCACATTTCCAAGAATGTCCCTGGCAGCAAAAGCGGTGGCCACTCCTATGATGAGGTTGAATCGGTTATATGATTATTTCAAAGACAATAAACAAGTAATACATATTATATCTACAATATGAACTTTCAAGAAATAGCAATTAGGCATCTTTTCATTTGGCAATAAAACACATACAAACAGCATTTGCAAGTTATTGCATAATCTTCAAAATCATTCTAAGATCAATAATAGAAAATACTAAAAGCAATGTCTTATTTGAGATATGAGAGCACTTATGATTTATACTATAAATTTTAACCAACCGTGGAAAAATCCGTCTTTAAATAAACTGTACAAGCATGTTAAAGCACATGTACAGCAGATTTAGAAAGGTTAAAAATATAGTGTTATAGAAATATATTCATGGTAAATTGTACTTATCAGAAAACACATCACCAACAACATAGCCCTCTGCTATAAGTGAAGACCAAGCAAAACGTTTAAAAACATACTGACAAAAACATACACCTGTTCGGACACACAAGAAAGTAAGATGGAAATATAAAGCCAAAAGTATATGATAAAAGAACTACAAGAAAAGCAAGCATATGCTACTTTAAATTCAAACCTACTGAGCCATGCCACGATACCTATTACCATTAAAATAAATTTGAAAATGTTATCTACATTAGCAACATTTAATTTTAAGATTCCCTTGCACAATTAGATCCAATTATCATAAACGAACTTAAACAGAAAAGAACATTCATTTAGCAGAAAACACCCACCACCTATGCCACCAACTGTCAGAATAGATTGCACAGCTACCCCACATGCCTCTGCTAAAGCCATTACCCCGATAACAAATAGACCAACAGATGAAACTTTGTCCATGGTTAACAACTTTTCCCGATCAATCCCTGCTAAATTCTGAGCAGCCAGTGCACGATCAAGCACATTTGTTTTCCAACGATGCAAAAACCAGACAAATGAAAGGATAGCTGCTCCCCTCCATGCTTGTGCAACGTATTGTGAAGCAATAGTACTTGGTGCCACCATCATGCCACTGCAAGTCAATGTACCTTTCACTCACTATACATTGACAAAAAAATAATGCAGAAACATGTGAATCGAAGGATGAGAAAGAGTTAAATATTGAAAATTAGAACCACTAACATTTGAGAGAATGCCATGAAGGTAATTAGATATCTCACTGGATCCTCCAAAGCTCCCCAGAAGCTTTTCTCATATGGAACTTGATCCCCAAGTAAGCTTCCAGATGGCAGGACTGAAGTTTGCATTGCATACTTGTGAAATCTTCTCAAAAGCCTGGGCATGACCACCCAAGCCAAAATGGTACCAGTCAAAGTGAAACCAACCGGAACAACCACATCTTTAAGATACGGATGGGAATCAAGCAACTGTTCAACATGAGGCTTCAGTTCATTAGAGGCTTCTTTAGCCTTTTGCCCAGTATAACCTACTGCATCCACAGCATTACGCCAAGCTTCTTTGACTTTATCAACCCAATCACTGCCAATAACACTACTGTTGCTAACATCCACTTCCCCTCCACCAGGAGAAGCTGAGACTTCAGATTCCACAGATTTATCAGTCTTGCTACTGAAAGACAACGAGTGTGACTGACTTCTCAACACTGGGCTTATAAAAACAAATGGGAACACACTCCGGTAACGCAAAGTCGATGAATTCAAGGATGATGCAGCCATGGGATTGATTTTGTGGAAACATTTATGAGCCAAAGGATCAGACACCACAACTTTAATATGGGTATTCACAAACTTTGCAGCAGATTGTGGTTCTCTTTTGTTATAAATGCTATCTACATAAGCATAAGATGATCTGACATAGTTTTGATCAACACTTCTTGTAAGTTCCATATAGGAATTGTATAGTGGCAATAATGGTGGTTGTGAAGAGGGATATAAGGAATTAGACAGTGACCTCAGTCTTGAAAGCCTAATTCCAGCCATTATAGCAACCAAGCGGTACTCACATAGTCCAAAAAGTGAATATCTATAAAATTTTGTGTGGCCAACTGAAACCAGAAACAATTCTCAATCTGCAAATAGGAAATTTTCAACCAATGATTATCACTTATTGATGCCACAATCAAAGCTAAACTCAAAAAAAGAAAGAAAAAGGCAATGGCAATATCACGATCAGATATTTGACAAGAATTTGAACATTGGAATAAATTACACACAGTTAAAAACTTGGCAATAAGAGAAGTATGCATTAACCCTAAATCTCCGCTTGGATGCCAAGAAAGTGAAAAGGAAAAAAAAATGTGAAGAAATAAAATTTAAATCTAACGGTTTCCGTCCTTTGGTCTTAGGTGATAAATAATTCAAACTCAGATGCATAACCGTCCTGAAGGTCAGAAATTCACTCGAAATTTCCAGTCGTTAGGTCAGTTTTTTTGCATTTCCCAGCAACCAAACGAAACACAAGATTGTTTTGGAATTATTTTAAAAAATATTGATAAACTGATAAAGTTACACCAAGTTACTTTACTAACCTGTAACGGTTGACTTTTCAGGCTAGTGGAGCTTTTGAATATATGTTTGAATAAAATTTTACAAGGAAAATGAAGATGAGCAGAGATTCTTCTTTTGCTCGGCAAGGGAGAACTACGGAGACTTGACAGAGACTAAGCAGAACAATTAGTACATTCTCCTTTCCGTACAAATTGGTTTACGTTCATCTGATGCTTTGATGGACTAAGTAGGACGATCTAACGGTTGAGATAGTTCATTTTTAATT